GAAATTGAAAAAATATAAACAACCTCTACTTTCTTTGATATTACCTCAAAGTGCTCAGTCTCTAGCATGAAATCAAATGTTGTCTGATAGGAGATCCCTGGTTGTATACATTGTTAGTTTCCACCCCAATGAGTTTTTATTCTCCTTGAAAAGACAATGTAATTATGCCTTACTTGAATTAAATTAATTGGATCTCCACGACCATCCCATAGATACCCACTAACATCATCATCGTTGTCATAGTAATCATCATCAACATCATCCCTATTTTATTTATATGCAGTGGGAAATACTATGGTGGCCTCTAAGTATGAAACCTGGCAGGCTATCCTCGAAGTCCGGGAACTGAAAGGCTAATAAACCCAATTAAGATGCTCGAATTAGTTATTAAATCAATGTAAAACATATATGGAGAAGCAAGAGGAAAGAGATTGGGTAGCTTCAGACATTTAGTGCAAGCAGGTAGAAGGGCCATGCTATCTGTGGGTGTCCAAAGTTCCTATGTCCTCCTTCTTTGCCTCATCTTCCTTCCCCACAGGTGGTGTCGTTACAAGGAACAGAGTCCAGGGCAGGCAGGAAGTTTCAGAGATGGAAGGTTTGTGGTGCTAATACATATTTATTCTATTGGAGAGATGAAGAGGCAAGTACACATGATCACAGCTATGGTTCAGTGATGACCCAGTGAGCGGTAGCGTATGTTTTAAGCATGAGACAGTAGGCTGCAGTGGGTGATACCAATGGGTGGTCAATTTGATGTAAATAAAGCTGATCCATCCTTTATGAATATTTAAGGTTTATTCCATCTTTTTTGATCTACAAGTAACATTCTCATTTTTTCATCCTTTTAATCTACGTTTAACACATAAATGTCTATTTATTGTATGCTTAACATATTGTATACATTCATTGTATACTTACAACTTATACTTAACATTTCTTATGAGTTTCATCTATCCTGTTTGTTTTTCTTGTCCTTTAAAGTAGAATCAAAAAAATTCTTAAGAGTATAGCCAACACACATCATGTTACTGATAAAGCACACGTCTGAGGCACAGGGCCACTTGTCCAAGGCCCCCACATTTCGTGCATGGCAGAGCCAAGGTGCAAAAAATTAATAAGAAGCTAGGGAAATTCCTTAACAGGTGGAATAAGGGAAATGAAGACAAAATAGTTAAATGGCTGAGCAATTAACAGCAAGGTAATAAATCACAAGACTGTATCATTCCTAATCGAAGATACTAGGAGCAGATGGTTTGTGCTCCTCCAACCGGAGAGCGAGTCCTAGAGATGGATAACAGAGGCCCAGTTGATGCCACCAATGCCAGCCAAATCCCAGAATGCATAAAGCGAGGGGAATAAATAAAAACGACGACAAAAACCAAAACCAATTAGAGCCAGACAAATTCAAGACAGAGGTGAAGTTAACCAGAAGATGATCCCAAGCCCCACTAAACACTCATTTTGATGCAGTAGCCCACTGAAAGGCGTACCTGAAAAGTTGATGATTAAGCTGTTGCGATGTGAGCACACCAGCACCTCTCTTTCCTCCGGTGCGTAATTTTACTCCTGTGCTCTGGGGGCCTTCCTCTGGCCTGACTTCTCGGGGAGCAACCCTGCCTGGGCGCACTCCTGTCCCTGAGGCTTTTACCTCTCAGTGTGTCTAGGAAGCCCAGCCTCTGCTCACTCCTTACTTCTTCCGTCTTAAGCCCTTCCTTTGTTTCCCTGGCCCAAGTTTTAGTACACGTGCTCTCAAAGTCACCCAGATGTGCTAGAAATTCTTTCCTGCACTAAGCTAAGAACTGACATGTTCCAAACCGTGTTGGGGCAGACCCACCATTGATCTTTCCTGTGACAAGGGGTTCAAATACAGGATATCTGGTTTCATATCCTATTTCTTAATCACCATCTGATGTTGATTCTCAGTTTGCCCGAGAAAATATTGGTAAGTCCGAATGGAAGTTCAATGCTCTTTCCACTAACTACTCTTTATACAGGGTGGGGAAAAAGCAAATTTACAGCTGTGAGTACAAAAGCATAGTTTATTCTTGTATTACTATTTATTAATTATTGTTTTATTTTCCATATGAACCACGGTAAACCTACGTTTGCCCCACCCTGTGTATGAATACCCTCGGTGCGGGTGACCTGTCTTGTTCATCTCTGCTTTCTTATCACCAGGCATAGGGCCTACCCAGATACTTGTGGACCAAGAGAATGTCCCATTTTATACTTTTTCTTTTCTTATGTGCTAAGTTGAAATGGCCTGAATAATTCCAATGTGACATTTAAGAAAATTTAACTTTTGGCATTTAAAGTTACATTATCTTCAGGATTTGATTTTACCTAAATTAACCTAAAAGCGTATCCAGTTGCTAGAGACCAAAAGATAAGGATCTGTGAACTGAGATCTAGCTCTGATTGTGAAACTGACCCTTTCAGCGGAATTTCATTGTTGTGCTATGCTTCACTTTCTCCAGTAGGAAAATGGCGCTAGTAATTCTAGTTTACTCCCTTTGCCAGGAACTGTTACAACTACTAATTTTCCTATTAGTAGCATGATTTTAAAAAAGTGCTTTCTACATTAGGGATTAGAAATTACAAAAAATATACATTCATAAATTAACATAAACATATTTACATGATTAAAAATAAAATGTTTATTACTTTTTAAAGGTATATCTTATGCTTCATTTGGATATAATTGACATTCTGCAATTTGCTAAGTATCCTACAATCTTCCTCATCCATTTGACTTTTTTGAAAGAGAAAGAAGTTACAACCTTTTGAAAGAAGCTAAGGTGAATTACATGCTCCTAACATATTTTTAATGCCTCTGTTTTGTTCCATATTTTAAAATATATTTATTTTAAAGATTGATGTATCATATTTACAAAAACCTTGTTTCTCTCTAGGAAGTTGGCAATATCTCAATGTATACAAGACCATTTAGAACTCAACACAGTGGTGGTTCAACCATGTCTGCCTGTTAGAGTTACCTGGGAAACTTAAAAAAAAAAAATGAACTGATTCACCAGCCCTACCTCAAACCACGTAAGTCAGAATCTCTAGGGATGGAATTAGAGTATTTGTATTTTTAAAGGCTCCCCAGACATTCTACAAAATACTTGACCAGCACTCTTCAAAACTGTCAAAGCCACCTTAAACAAGGAAAGTCTGAGAAACTGTCACAGTTCACAGGAGGTGAAAGGAGATATGATGCCTAAATATAATACAGTATCCACAGTGGGATCTTGGAAGAGAAAAAAGATATTAGAGAAAGTTTCTGGAATATGAGTGAACTATGGAGTTAATAGTAAGCAATGGTGGTTCTTCAGCTGTGCATCATGGTTATGTAGGATGTAACCGACAGGGCAAACTGGATGGGGAGTGTAAGGAAACTCTCTGTACTACCTTTGTAACTTTTCATAAATCTAAATCAATGGACCCAAGATTGGGAATCACACAGAATATGCTTACATTGTACCAGAAAACAAAAAGACTTTGTGAAATATCGAGCCCAGTTGCCAAGTGCCAGCAAAAACCTGACATCAAAAAACAATAAGCTGTGGCATCAGAGGAGACTACATTTCTAGAGCCACTCCCAGAGAAAATCAATGGACTAACTTTAATAAACATAATTGTAATAATTATAATCCCTATAATTAATGGCCTCCAAGATGCAAAAATTCAAGAAAGACTGCTAGTACAGGAGAGGGGGAAAAACTACTCATGACTCATTCTCAGAAAGGTAGGTTTAATTTTGATATCTACAAAATACGCTTATACTCATATAAATATCTGGATTAAACCTTTTTGCATTATGGTACCTTAGCGGTTTGAGAAAATTGCAAGTGATTTGTCTTTGGTAAGAGCTGTTGGCTCTTTCTTATCTATAAAGGAGACTGAGAACTGATCAGAAATTTGTTCAGTATTGAGTTAATTTTTCCTCTCTTGTCTCTCCCGCTGTGGTAGGAAGGAGGCAAAGAAAAAGATCCTCTAGTTTTCCGTAATAAAGTCTACCTGGATTTAGCCCAGTCATACTTCTCTTTTCATAACCATTAAAGATAATTGTCGTGTGTGTAAATCTCTAGAGGGAAGTCAGAACTGTGACTGAAGAAATTACTCTGCACAAGTAAATATTTGACAAGCAGCAAGTGCTTGGAGATGGTGTTTCAAATGCTCGTTTTTAATAATTTTGCATAAATTATTTTGTTTGGTAAAAATGAATAATTTATAATCACAATCCGTATGCTGTATTGAATTAACAAACAGTATTAACAGCCTGTAGCCACAGATTACAGCCCAGATACCTAATTCCATGTAACCTAGGTAAATAATTTTTCTTTGCTCGCCCTACCTCAGTTTCTTATCTGTAAAATGAACAGGTTGCACTAATCAATCTCCAATTCAGACTTTGAGATTTAGTGAGGACTTCAAGAAACGGACTGGATTTAGGTAGGGCTTTGGGTTCTCATGGGCAGGATGGTATTAATAAAGCTCATCGCATGTGCTTGGGTTTCTAGAGTCGGAAGGGTAATTGATAGAGGTAAAAACACGTGAAGGAGGACGAAATGGGACAATGACCCGTTGAGGTCTCAACTCCCGGGGCTTTTTTGGGTCTGGCAGAGGAGGAAGAGCGTTCGGCTGCTAGGCAACCGCACCTCTTGGGGGGTAGTGGAGGACCCTCCCGTCGGAGGTGTCTAAGTCACCGCCTCCTAATTTAGTCACCGTGCCTTCCTCTCGAAATTAATAAAATATGCAGCCTTTAAAAGTATACATTTTCTTGCGCCAAGTTTGGCAAGCCCTAGCTTAGGGGCAAGCCCGTAGCTGAGTTCTGTTTGCGATGGTTTTTCTTCTTCCTGTTCTCAGGCGCTATGCGGGCTCCTCTCTGACTAGGCCCCCGTCGCAGCGCGTTGCCAAGCAGAACTGGACGCCGCCCGCTCCTCGGTCCCCTCCCTCCCTGGGTCCCGCCCAGGTCCTTCACGGGCAGCCTCGGCGGCCATGGGCTCGGAGATGGAACCGCTGCTCCTGGCCTGGAGCTATTTTAGGCGCAGGAAGTTCCAGCTCTGCGCCGATCTATGCACGCAGATGCTGGAGAAGTCCCCTTATGACCAGGTACCTGCCGGACCCCATCAGCCCCTGTGGATGCTCGCGACGAGGCAGAGGGCTCTGGGGGATGCCCAGACCCCCGGGTGGGATCTCCGAGGGCAAGGCCCAGGGCAAGATTGACCGTGTGGTCAGCTCAGGTGCTTGGAGCGAGACCCCTGGAGCCGTGGCTGGTGGGTGCCTGTCCTCTGCGTACCTGAGTCCGGAGGAATATACGATTTCTGTGCCATGATCGCCCCTCCTCAAACTTTGGCAGCCCCTTCAGGTGTCCCTGAAAGGAACGCTTAAAGCCCTGACTTTTACCTTGTTGAGGAACTTTAATTATTTATACTCGCATGTGAATGGGCCCTTAAGCTCGCTGCAGGAGCGTTAATTTCTAAAACAATTACATATAAACATAAAGACCTGTAACTTCTCATATTCTGTTGAAATAGCTGCTGTGTTTCTTTTGGATTAAGTGTATGAACCTTTCACTTCATCGTAAGACCGTTATTTAAGAGTGAGAAGGAACATTTGGTTTAGTTAGGGGCATGACTTCAACCGGAGGCAAAAAAAAAAAAAAAAAAAAAAAAAAGAGGAATCTAGGAGGGGAAAAGAAACATTTACTATTAGAAGGGAGAGATGGGGAAAAAATTTCCCCCTAAAAGAAGGAATGATGGCATTGATTTAAAAAAATCTTAAATAAACCACAGTAATAGTTTAACTTCTCTTAAATAAGTTGTAATATTAACTAAGTAAGTGAAAAGGTCATAGAGTACCCGTGTGAGAGTTAGGATCTGGTTGACAGGTAGTTTCTGGAAAAGACAAAAATGAGAAGGGAGAATAGGAGCAAAGCTGTGGCAGTTTGTCAGTGCTTCTAGTAAATGCAAAATATAGTTCTTGTTTCCCAGCTTTTCTTCTAGTTAGAAAAAAAAAAAGAAAAAATTGAGGGGAGATGTTTGAATATAAGCAGAGGCATGAGTGTGAACACTCTTACTAGGTTCTGCCTTAGGTCCCAGCAAACTGATAGAGGATAACCTATTGAGGTGATGAACATTTTGACCTTTAAGTAGATAATACATCTACCCTCAAACAATCCATGTTAGTGGAAATGCTAAGCTAGGTTCTGTTATTTGATAAGATTGTGTTCTGTAGACAAGCACTTTCCCAAGTGTGTTTCTTGGGACAGTAATACCAGAGATGCTGTAAAAAAGTATTCTTTCCATGATCAAACAGGGGAATCATGACAAAATATTGACCCATTTACATTACTACAAAGATTAGTTACAGACCTATGATGTACCAGACGTTGTTCTCGGCACGATGGTTTTCAAGAACTTTACACGCTGCTTCCATTTTTCCATTCAGTTAGGGTAGTTTCCATTCTGTATTCCAGAGAACACTAATCCCACGAGCTGCCTGGTGAAAGTTTCCTCATTAAATGCATTTGGGAAATGTATATCCCCCCTTCTTAGGGATTCAGGATTCATACTAAAGGTTCTAAGAAGTTCTGAAGAAAAGGAAACTGATTTTGCCTAATTATTTTTAATCTATTAGTTTTGAAACTTATTTGACTACTGATTCCTTTTTTGGCAGCCGCTAAGGGTCAAATATCTTTGTTATCATCCTAGGCCTTGGGAGATGTTGTCATGTCGAGAAATGGTATAGACAAAGCCACAGTGTTTTTATCAGTGGTTAAGACCCTATAATTTTAATGACATGTAATCATAGAGACATTCAGTACTGTACCTATGAATTCAGATTCAGTTTGTGATCAGGACTTTATATATGTTTAATGACATTTTATTGCATGCTTACTACTTGCCAGACATAAGTTCTATAAATTGTATGTATTTCTATTCTGAGAATAACCTTGCAAAGTAGGTAGCAAGAAAATTAGCTAACATTTATTGAGTATTTACCCTGTGTCAGGGCTGGTTCAGAGGGTTTTATTTGTCATCTCATTTAATCCTCAACTATTTCAGGAAATTGGTAATCTATCCCCCATTTCACAGGTTGAACATACTGAGGCACAAGGTAAAGTAATTTGTCCAAAATCACAAATCTGGCAACCCCATTCCTTTTGTCTGTACTAGCCTGTCTCTTTGGTGAAATGCCAATTTTGTCAAAATTGTGTGTTTTTGAACTTTTTTATCAGTCTATTTTCCCATCTTTTTTGCCTTTTCCAAGATTTTTGCTAAGTGGTAAAGAATTTTGACGTATCTTTGAACTCGGTTGGATTAAAGGCTCCGAGAAGTCATGAAGGAAGGAAATCTGCCCGTGTTTTATTAAGCCAGTATTATGAAATTTATTTAACCACTGGTTCCTTTTTTGGAAGATCGAGGTACAAATATCTCCCTTGTTATCCTGGGAAATGTTATTGCTTTGGGAAATGCATAGGCAAAGCAGTAGTGTTTTTATTAATGGTTAGGAAGGGCCGTAGAGGAGATCTTGACTTCTTTCCTTTTACCTAAGCAGAATAGGATAAACAAGTTAAGTACTTTGTTTAAAGTGTCCCCAGTTAGCAGCTAAACAAGGCAAGATGTTGTTGTTGTTGTTTTTTAAATAAAGATTTTGTTTAGTTTTAGAGAGAGGGGAGGGAGGGAGAAAGAGAGGGAGAGAAACATCAGAGTGTGGTTGCCTCTTGGGCGCCTCTGACTTAGGACGTGGCCTACAACCCAGGCGTGTGCCCTGAGCGGAAATCAAACTGGTGACCCCTTGGTTCTCAGGCCAGCACTCAATCCACTGAGCCACACCAGCCAGGGCAGATATTCAGTGTTTTTTATTTGGCTTCTTATACAGCTTCCATTAAGCCTTACTGACCCTCCTGCAAGATTAAAATTTGTCACAAGGTATATTTGGTGGAACTGTGATTTTGATAATGATAATAGAGAAGGAAAAAAAGACACAAGTTCATACTGAGAAATATTCCTATTGTCATTAGTTTGTCATTACACATAGTTAGGATCATTATGACAGTAGGTCTTGTTAGGACCTGACCTATTCCATTGACCTATTTAAGTGGATCTGAAATATCAATATTTCACAATTTAATATATAATTAATTTCTAATACCATAGATGTTTTTGAAAATGTTATTCTTCATTACTGTTTTATTTTTTACAAACAGGGGTTGATTTGTTCAGTTCCTACAAATGTCAAAGTAAGCCTGGGAGAATCAGTATCAGATCTAGGAAAAATTTGTATTCTTTTCCTTTCTAATCCTTTTTACTTGTTTTGCTGAGATGGTTTATTGAAGAGGAACTATATATGTTGCCAGAACAATGATTAGCGCTTCACCAAGAACAGAAGTTTAACTTGATGTTACCTTGCCAAACGGGACTTTTGATACCTGGATAGGGCTGCTGAAAAGTTGACAGGGTCCATTTATGTTAGTTTTTCTTTGAGCCAGCTTTTAAACACCATGCTTTTGCACTGTACACTTCTTAATACCAATCTAGGTAGTATTTTGAAGGCCAATTGTTACTTCATTTTTCTAAGCTTGAGGAAGGCCTGCTTTTTTTCTTAATTAAAAAAAAAAGTTTAAACATTTATGTTAGAGTGCTGATGCAATTAATGAAGAGCTTTAGGAAGCTTAAGGAGGATCCTTTGAGTAAAAACTTGGCAGATCTGTATGGTACGTGCAGAGCCTGGCAGAAAGGGGCTTTCGTGTATTCGCTGAATGAGCGCATCGATCATATTCGCATCTGCGTTTTGCTGGCGTTATTCATGTGTGCCAGCTTCCCTTCTGTTTATGAAGATCACCCTAGTTGCCTGATGATCGTTTCTCCAACCCCTGCCTCTCACCCTTAATCCCCCCCACCATAGGTTCTTAAATGTACACGTATCTTTTCAAATACCGGTAAGTGTAATTGCGTTATGGACATACTTAATTCATTTCTTGTTAATTAGTCCAGAAAATTCTTCCTGGATTCCTCCAGGAGAGTATTTCTAATAGTAATTATCTTCACTAGTATTTCTTAAGGAGCTCTCACCGTTTCAGTGGAGCAAGTTAAATGATGACGAGGCTAGCAATCTGTGAAAAGCTAATGGGGATGTGATGAGAACAGAGGCGGGCGGTCCGCGGCCCCGCAGGCAGCGGCTTTATCTTCCTGCGCTACGCTAGCCCCCTGAGCTTTTGTTCTTCTTCTTCTTCTTCTTCTTTTTTTTGAGGCTTCTACCTTTTAAAGGAGAAAACTTTTCCTCCATGGCTAGTTGAATTACCATTCCCGTGCTACCAAACTGACGTTAGTACACGTGAGCGCCTCTAAAGTAGTACCGGGACAGGTAGAAGAGCAAGGAAATTAAAATTTTTCTCCGAAGTGCTAAATGGATTCAGTTTTGCTCTTCCAAAACAAAATAGCTTTTGCTTTTCATGGGGTTTTCTTTCTTTTTTTTTTTTTCACTTCTGATTTTGCTTATTTTTCTCCCAGGTGAGGAGAACCTCTCTAAAGGGATTTGTTACTTGTTAATCCTTTTATAAGCTTGACCAGGGAGCTTCAAAAAGATAACATTTCGATCTTGCTACATCAGCCTCTTTGATAAAGCCTGCCTTTGAGACTGTTCCTTCTACATTTATTTCTCCTTTAAGAGATATCGTTTTAGTTTACTACCACAAAAAATATTTAATAAGTGCCTTGTGTTTTGTACTAGAACATTTGGATTATACTTAATTTTGATTCTTGCCAAAACTGGGGTAGTCAGGTTGGCCAAAGAGGTATGCTGTGCTATGAAATAGCATGTTTCCTTAGAGCAATACATTTTTATTTGGATAAAGAAGGACTGAAGGATAGGTTGAGTATAATAGCATGGCGGTTGGTCATGGGGAAGGGTTGTTGAAGAAGATGGATTCTGCACCACTTTTCTCAGGTGCAGAAGGGTGAGAAACAGGGGGCAGGGTCTTTGAGTACAGAGGACATTAATTAAGCTTCTGATCAGTGAAGAATAGAGTGAGAATGATGACTGCTTAATTTAGCATAGTCTCCCCATTTGATAAAATACAGTTAAGAACAAGCAATTCATAGGGAGGT